GGGGGGACACCAAGGGGGAGCAGAACATACTGCTTCTGGAGCGTGCCTCTCCGGAAATATCTTTCTGAACTTTCCAGAGCTGCGCGATTCCACGGCAAGACCAGCCGTGGTTTTAAAAAGTGCAGCGTCACTCCAGGTCCGCTGTAGCCCGCGGAGCGGAAAGGGTGCGGCGAGTAGGGGGCTTTATAAAATGCCTTTCCTCGTAGAAGGACAGTTACAGGGAAGGTCTGTCCTGGAGAGACTTAAACGCACCGCTGTCCCGGGAGGGGTGGCACTGGGTGGCGGGTAGCGGGCTAGAGCCAAAAGCAGAACTATTTTAGGGATCTGGACCCTTAACGGCTTCATTTTCATACGAATCTCAAGGTTAAAATTAATTTATTATATGTTTAAGTTACGGCTTTGAACATCAATTACTGCGGTACACGGTATTCTAATATTTCGGGTTCGCTACAACTTTTTTTCATACAGGTTTCAAAAACAAGTTACATATGAGAGTAATGGAATTTTAGAGAGAAAGAATGCTCTCGGTTTGGAATCTTGGGCTGTGGCTAGTCAAAACAGTGTCAGTATATTAAACAGTGCTTTCAAATGGCAAACACATATACTTGTTTAAGTAATTGTTACAGAGTTAAGTTTTAAAAACTCAAAAGCATTGCGAAAGATGCCTGTACTCTTAAAGCAAAACCACATTTACTGTCACCCAGCGTCCAAGAAGGCCATAGCATTTTTTAATTTGTCTTAAGACTAAATTGATTCTCTATAAGGAGTTTAGAAAGTTTTTTTTGTAACCAATAGACCTCTTCTGAATGTAAAATTATATATTAATTATTATTCTTTCACATTGGTACTCCTGATAAATAGCAAATAACCTGCAGGTCTGGTGAATCCAGTAACAGGTAGTACATCAAGTTTAGTTTGTATGTCTTTCAAGTGTGTATGGATACAGTTCTATTTGAAAAATCCCCTTTCAGTCTGTCAATTCTGGGTTGAGAAGACTTTAGTTATTAGATAGTGGTGCACCTAAAAATAAATGGAGTACTTTGTTTTGCATTTCAAGGCCGGATTCAGAAGCCAGCCAGAGCCCACAGTACAGCTTCGAGTCATTACCTCAGAAGATTTGTTTAATCTGTGGGGATGAAGCATCAGGCTGTCACTATGGTGTCCTCACCTGTGGGAGCTGTAAGGTCTTCTTTAAAAGGGCAATGGAAGGTAGGCTCCTTTCCCCTGATCCTTTCTCGTTTCTTTCGTCATAAATACAGACCATCTAATTTACAGATTTTAATTAGCCCTTGCTGCTTCTAAGAAATGGTGATATTTCCATATAACTTAAAACGTGATGTTTTAACAATATATTTTTATTTATAATACTCCATATTGGATGTGGTTGGATATTATAATTACATGCTATTTCACTAACACTTTAAATGTTACACACAAGTCATATTAATCGTGGGAACAATGCTCCCGTTGTTCATTAACATTTAACTTTAAAGGAACAGCATTGTTTTGATTGTATTTTTACATTTCCATCATATGTATTATATATAACATATGGTTCAAAATTTCTTTGAAAAGAAAAATGGTAAAAGTCATCCGTTTTATATATATATATTTTTATATAATACATGTGACATAGGTACATAGTTTCTACATGACTGTCTTCTCTTTACATGCATATTTATGTAATACTTATATACAATTTTAAAGGTAATTCTAAAGAAATTCTTAAGGTTCCCTTTTTGTTTGTTAATTTTTGTAAGTGTATATGGGGGATAGGCATAAACCGTTTAAAGCAAATGAAAAATCTGGACATCACAGTAATATAATATCTGAAGAAGTATTTTGCTTCAAGTAAGGCTTTCATGTTTTTAAAATAATCTGAATTATGTATTTATCTAATGATTTTGGGTTGACTTGCATAAGTATTTCAGACTTGACCTTTCATAGAAAATATTTTCAATTCCTCATTTTATCTACACTAAACTCTAAGCAGCCAAACACATTTATATTTGAAGATAGAAATACATTTAAAGATCATTTCACATTGAATTCTAGCGATGAGTGTTTTTTATAACAAGCTGACATGAGTTTTAGGCTTCTCTGTGGAATGCTGAGATCACATGTAGACAAGGAACCAATGATCTTAATGTCTGCTTTTTTTAGCTTTCTGTTTGTGAGTTTTCCAATTTCAAGAGCCTCTGCTTATAAGTAGGAAAAGAGGGAGTAGGGAGTTTTTACCTTAAGGAGGCTTTCAAAGGAGCTGACAGGTATATTTAATGCACATTTACACCAAAAGAATGTTAACCGAGAAGACATTTATCAAAGAAGTTCACTGTCCCTGTAGATACCTAGCAGATCATTCTTTCCAACTGTTATGCTTTTTGATGAAAATAATTCCCAACTATTTATTAATGGTTTACGTACCCCCACCCCTTCATAAAAAAAATTGCTTTGTATATTTCTAAAACATGATTTTTTCCCCACAAAGGATGAATGTATTTAACTGATGTTGAACATGTGTATTCAGCTTCATGGAGGCTCAACTGTATTTTAAATTAATTGAGGTACTGCAAAAAGAGGGTATGAGAGAAAATGGGGCAACTGAGACTGGCCTTCACTTTGCCGCTGACATCATTTAGTCATCGTTACAGATGGAAGACCTTTGTGTGGAAGAGTCAATTCTCCAGTATGTGATTGGAGTTACTGTTCCCATCTAACTTTGGTTCTGGTTTCTTGAACATCCTCTTTTGCACTAGTATGATTTCCTTTATTCTTACAGTCTCCTTAGTCTAATTTTTAAGTGAATGACCCCCTTGGAATCACCTTAAAACCAGCTTATTCTATCCCAGCTCCCTTTTTCTAAAGAAACACAGTCCCAAGGACATAAATCTGAGTTTCTAAAGAGCATATAGCTAGCTAGTAGCTGATTGTTAATCAACATTGACTTTTTTAAATTGCAGTGCTTATAAATCAGAGAGGGTGTGCAAAAGTAAGTATATGATCATTACTGATTAATTCTTGGAAGTTATTTCAGAAATTCTTGGAAGTTACTTACAAGAGTGCTGCAATTAAAATGCAAATGCTTTCACATCATGATTATCAGAATAGCACCCCAGACATAAAAGATGCCTTCCCAGATTTACTCTTCGAAAGCATTTGTTGGACCCCTGCATGGTTCTGGTTTTGTTTCAAGAAGTAGAGATGAAGTAGCTTTATTCAGCAATATTTACAAAGAGGAGCTCAAGATGTTGATAAATCATTCATTGGTTATTAAAAGACAAGTGAGGTTTTTGATCTCTGGGCATTGAGGAATGCTTGTAAGTGTATATGTTCAAAGAAGAGTGAAACAATTAAGATTAGACTAAGACTTGAAGATTCGTATTAGAAAATAATTAGAATTAAAGGTTAGGGAGTTTGATTGGCAGTGTTGGATGAATTGGGAGAGAATCAGTGATTTAAGGCAAGAAAATAGAGAGCAGGTTCTGGGAGTTTTCAAGAGTGAGAAAGATGAATAGAAGAATTTTTATAGTTGGAGAGAAATACCAGGCTTGAAATCTTAAGAGTAAAGTAGAGCTATGTGGTGAGTTGGCTCAAGGTAGAACTGTGTGGAGTCCACAATATGGGTGTTAAATGTTGCCAAGGATAATGATCGTAATGGCGTTTTAGAGTGCTTTCTATGTACTAGTGACTACATGCTTTATGGATCCTAACTCATTTAAGTATTATAATGTAGACATTATTATTACTTTTAATTTACAAATAATGAAGCTAAGGTCCAGAGATGTTAAATTGCCATAATCACAGTGGTAGAGTAGAATTCAAATCCAAGTGGAGTGACTCCAGAGTGTGTGCCCTTCACCACCATACTTCCTTTATCATAATAAGAAGTTCAATTTAAATTCCAAAGAGAAACAATAGACGGTGGGAAGAAAAACTATGAGTCAGGTGATAAAACATCTGGGGAAGTAAAGGTGAATTCTAAAGGAGAACGCAAGACAAAGGGTGGTTAGAAGTGTGTGATGTGAATGGATGGGTGATATTAACTTCACATTTAGGGCAGCAATGAAAAGACATAGTCAGGGGTCAAGAGCCAGTTTCCCCACCTTTCCTCCAAGTTAGGAGTGGGAGACAATAAAGCCTATAAAGACGTCACCCAAGAAGACTGGGTTTCTCTCGGTATGAGACTGAAAAGAGAAGAGGCAGAGGAAAAAGAAACCACTCAGGAACTGGGGGTAGAAGTGGGGAGAAATGACCTCTCTTAAGTTAAAAAAATGAATTAGGCAAAAGCAACTGGTTGAATAGCCCATTGCATCCCTTTACTAAGACTTGGAGTGAATCAGGAGGTCAGGAATTGGCTCGGTACCTCTCAAGAAGTCAGAATGACCTGCCAGCCCTATAAATACAGGCTAGTGGCCTTGTATTAAGAAGAAGAAGATAATTTCTCACTAGTCTATTCTGTATGCACTGTGACTAGCTCAGTGCTAGGAATATACTAAACATTCAGTGAAGAACTGTTTGCTAAAGGAGCTAATGAGAGATGAAAAAGAGATGCTCTTATTCTTTGCATGTTTTGCATTGTGACAGCATGGGTAGTGAATACATTTGCTGGAATATGGCTGAGAAATATTATAATACAGTTGAAATCTATTTTTGGAAGACACTAGGCTAAGTAGGTATTCATCGATTTTTGATTATATATTACATAGGTATACCTTTATTGAAGTGTAATTGACAAATAAAATTGTAAGATAATTAAAGTGTACAATGTGATGATTTGATGTATGTGTACATAGTGGAAGGATTTCCCCCCCTCTAGTTAACTAACATATTTATCACCTCACATATTTACCTGTATTTTTCGAATGAACATTTATGTCCTACCAACTCTTTTAGCAAATTTCAGTTATAATACAATGTTATCAATTACAGTCTGATGTTATACATGAGATCCTCCCACCTTATTTATCTTATGACTGAATGTTTGTACCCTTTTGCCAGCCTCTCCCTATTTCCCCCACCATCCATCCCCTAACAGCCGCTTTTCTGCTCTCTGTATCTATAAATTCAGCTTATTTTTTTGATTCCACATATAAAAGACACCATGAAGTATTTGTCTTTCTCTGTCTGGCTTATCTCCCTTAGTGTAACGTTCTCTATGTTCATCTAATTTTTTTTGATCGTGTATTAATTAACCGGATATTTGTTGAGCACTTGCTGTATGCCAGGCACTATGCTAGGTGCCAGCTGAAAAGCAGTAAAGCAAGATAGACCTGGCTGGCTGCAGACCTGGCTGGAGTTTTTAGTGTAGTGAAGGAAGGGGACAGTCTATCAGTTAGCATGCATGTGAGGAATTATAGATGTGCTAAATGAAGAGGTTATGCCTGGACAACTAGAGAATGGACCCCTCTGACAAATGAGGACAGTGGGAAAAGCCTTTTAGAATTAGAAAGATACCATCATAAGTAGACCATAGACAAAAAAATTAAACATTTTTAAGAATAATCTATTTCTTTCTGAAGTGGAGTAGAGTTGTTGTCATAGCCTAAAAATGAAAACTGATTTCATAGCAAAGTTCTCCCTGATATGACTTATACAAGAGAAATAATGAACGTTCAAAAAAATTTTTAAGATTTTATTGTTTTTAAGGGCAATTTTAGATTTACTACAAAATTGAGGAGAAAGGTACAGAGATTTCCCATCTATTTCGTGCCCTGACAGGGGCATAACTTCCCTTATTACCAAAATCCTCCACCAGAGTGGTACATTTGTTACGACTGATGTACCTACGTCGACACATCGTTAGCACCTAAATCCACTAGGGTTTACTGTTGGTGTTGTGCATTCAGTGGATTTGGACAAATGTTTAATCATATGTATCCATGTATCATAGAGTATTTTCACTGCCCCCCCAAAAACCTTTGTGGTCTGTTCATCCCCTCCTGCCCCCAACTCCTGTCAACCACTGATACTTTCATTGTCTTCGTAGTTTTGCCTTTTCCAGAATATCATACAGTTGGAGGAGGGAGCCATTTCAAGTTAGCTTTTTTCACTTAGCAATATGCATTCAAGCTTCCTCCAGGTGTAAAACTCATTTCTTTTTAGTGCTGAATAACTTTCCATTGTCTGGATATAGTACAGCTTATTTATCTGTGAACTTAGTGGAGGACATCTTGATTGCTTCCAAGTTTTGGCAGTTATGAGTAAACCTG